GAGAGAGAGAGATGGGAGGAATGGCAGGGCTAACTTCCCGCAACTCTTCAATCAGACAGAGCAATCAGAATGGGAAGAATATTGCGATGAACCAGTCCCTATCTGAATGGAAGATTCTTCTGAAGTAAGGCAGGTAAAGTACACAGAGTGTGATTGAGATCATTGGAGACTAGTGAGCATTGGCCGTTGCTCACCTTGAAAGAGCAGATGGCATAGAAGAGGGGATGATAATCATTTGTTTCTCCCGTCAGCAAGGATGAGAAGGAGAGTTCTGCTTTGGCTCTGGCTACTATCTGTGTTTTTAATCTTGATGTAACTTGTGAGCCAGTACGTAGTTGTCTCGAACAGACTAGATGGTTTATGGACCTAACAGATGGAGGATCTTGCCGAGGTCTGTATGCAGAGTGTTGATGCTTAACGCGTTATAGTTTTGTGCTGGTTTATGGACCTATCAGATTGAGGAACCTGTGGAGGAGGAGCGGGAGGAGCGGGAGGAGCGGGAGGAGCGGGAGATGGAGGTCTGGGAAGTTGGATGCAGAGTGTTGAGGTTTACACGTTATGGTTTTCTGCTGTCCCTTGGTGGAGATAAGATCTGGGATGCAGCATCTGTTTGCATTTGATCTTTATGTATATGGGACACTGGACCCGTTATCCAGCCCGTGCTGCTCCCCACGAATAGATGGAGTCATGAACTGATCGCGAAAAAAAAAAAAAAAAAAAAAAAAGAGTTGCATAAAGATATATTAAAAAGAAAAAGATATTAAAAAAAAGAGCCGATCAGAACTGATCAGAACCGACACCACACCGGATCAAAACGGAAATGCACCTCGTCCATCCTGTGGACCTCGTTGAAGACCATCAACACTCAGCAGTTTGGCTGAGATAAAGTGAATCAAACTGATTAGAAGAACAGATACTTGACCTGATCTTTCTTTTTTTTTCATTTTTTTTTTCAAATGATACTTCACCTGGGGCGAGGTCCCACTAGCAACGGGATAGGATAGAAACGAGTTTGTGGGGCAGTTGAGTGACCCAAATCCTGCCGTGCAGTACTGGTGATCCCACGGTCAGTGATTTACATGTATTACCCGAAAAAGTAAGGAGATCTTCGTTCCCCTCCCCCTCTCCTTAACACTGGGCATGCCCGTGCAAAGACAGCTTCCCGCCAGAATCTTCTCAATCGGTTGGGGGTGTGGCCAACCCCAAACGAGGTTGGGGTCGGCCTTAGCCCACTGGATAAAAGATTTTCAGCATTTTACTTGCTGTTGTGCAATTATCTCATTGGGTGGAGCCCTCCTTCAATCACGGAGTATATGGAGGGTGTCAGGATCACTGCTGACAGAAGTAGGTTTTATTCCAAAAAAATGTGGCGGTTACTTTGTTCACTGTTTTTGCAACCACCACCATCAGATCATTTGTGATCTGATGGCTGGGAAGCACTCTCAGTGTCACACTGGATCGGCCACACTCCTATCCGACTGCTAATGGGACCTCGCTCCTGATGTTGGCCAAATTGCTGAGAGAAATGAATTTCGAAGTTTTGAGGGGGAAAAAAAATTGCTGAGAGAGAGAGAGGTTTTTTTTGCAGCGTGTTCTATTCGGGAGACGCTGGTGATCAATGATGTGCCTTGTGAAAATCAGCTACCATGGACACAGTACTCCCATCCTCTTCCTTTTTTTTTTTCTTTTTTTTTTTTTCAATTTTTTGAGGAATGCTTGTCCATTCCTCTTTTTCTCGTCTTTCGTCCTTTTTCAAAACCCATCCAAAACTGCTTGCGTCCTTCCATATGGCCCTAGTTGCACCACCGCCAAGATTTTGAATGCACCTGGACAAACATTTGTCCAGGTGCATTCAAAATCTTGGCGAATGGCAAGTGGTACAACGAGGCCCTATGTCCGCCCACCGCTGAAAGTCCGAGTCTTCTGCTGACGAGGAAGTCGGTCCTCTTGGGTTGTCCCTTTTTCTTCTCATTGGCCGAATGCCATGCAGCTTTGACACCATTACTGACTCCGTCTCATTGTTCCTGGTCTCATCAGAAATTTTTCCCTGCTGATGAGGAAGTCCTGGTCCACCGCTCGTTCCAGTGTGTGGACCTGGTGCACCATCGCTTGTTCCATCGTGTGCACCTGTGGACCTGGTCCAA